GGGATTGTCCACCATTTTGTTATCCGATGTGATTTTCCTATGTGTTGTAAATCCTACCTCCATGATGTTAATGATGCAGGATTAGAGGCAGTTATTTTAATGAGGTAGGACTCAATCTACAAGATTAGATTGTGTCTTAAATCAACCTCATTTGAGATATAAAAGAGAGACACGGACAAAGAGACAGGGGAACCTCATACCACCAAGAAAGTAGTGCCAGGAGTAGAGTACATCCCTTGGACCCAGGGCCCCTGTATTGAGAAGCTCTTAGACCAGGGGAAGATTGATGACAAGGACATTCCCCCAGAGCCAACAGAGAGAGAAAGCCTTTCTCTGCAGCTGGTGACCTGAATTCAGACTTCTAGCCTCCTAGACTGTGAGAGAATAAATTTCTCTTTGTTAAAGTCATCTACTTATGGTATTTCTGTTATAGCAGCACTAGATAACTAAGGCACCTTGAGTCTGGGCTGGCTGTCTGACTTGACCAACAGAATATGAAGGGAGTGATGGTGTGTAACTTTCGAGGCTGAGGTGTAAGATCTGTAGCTTTTGCCTTTGCCACTTGGAACACTCCCTCTGGGAAGCAAGCTGCAATATAAAATGCTCACATACTCTGCTGGAGAGATAGGCCTCATGGAGAGAAGACTGAAGCCATTCCAAATGTTCTAGCCTCAGCTGATCTCCCAGCTGACTGCAACCCTATGAGTGACCTCAGCCAATGCCGGTGGAAGAGAAGAACCACCCAGCTAAGCCCTGCCTAGATTCTTGATCCATAGAATCATGAGCAAACAAAATGGTTGATGTTTTAAGTCATGACGTTTTGGAGTAATTTGTTATATAGTAGTAGATAATTGAAGCCATTACCTATTAGCCTACCTGGCTTTAGAGATCAATATTGTTCCTTTCAGGTCACTTTCCTTTAAAAGGCAACAACTCTTGAGAAGGATTACATATTAGAGAAAATTGGTTTCAGAGAAAATTTTCACATGGTAAGAATGATATTAGCATTCTTGGGGGTGTGAATGTGTGTGGGGGTGTGGTCTGTTATATGGTAGGGAGAAGGAGACAATTTAATGGGAGAAAAAGCTATCAAAAGTGAGGAGAATATGTTTTTAAAACAAAAATCATATTAAGCTAATATTATAAATTGTTATGAAGTTTGTTTAATACACGATTTTCAAATCAGGCAATGCTTTTGACTTGCGTCAAAGTGTTCCAAAGTGAAAAAGAACTTCCAAAGATTCTTATACCGCCATCTTATCAACATTGGCATGGAAAAGGGCTGGGGAACAGTGTTTACCTGATAGCAATTTACCCTAAAACACAACTTCCGGTCTGACCCTGGAGTTTCTGTTTCTGTTTCTCAAAACTGACTCTTCCAAAGAGCACAATGCCCAAGGCAAAATGGTCTTTACTAATTAGCAAGACTACTGTTTGGCTTAGGGGTGAGTTTTAGGAGACTGGTCTGCTTGAGGTTCAAGGTTAAAAACAGGATCTCAGGGCAATGGCGTGGGTGGGTCACCTCAACTCCATGGACCCCTGAAATCTGGATTCTAGGAGAATTAAAAACTGTTTCTCTACATTAAAGAGAAATTATAACTGCTATTATTTATTACTTTCTATATGCCAGGCAGTATGTTCAAACTTTACATACATGATTTCATTTTACTGTCTTTACAACTGAAAGATGATAGTATCATTCTCTCTCTCTTGCTTTCTTTTTTCGTAGTTGAAGTAATTATGTCATAGAGATGTTAGGGGACTATCCCAGATCAAACAGCTAGAAAGTAGCTGAACCAAATCAAGTCAAACCAGTTGCCGTTCAGTCAATTCTGACTCATGGTGACCCATGTGTTTCAGAGTAGAAATGCACTCCATAGGGTTTCCATAGCTGTGACCTTTTGGAATCAGATTACCAGGACTATTTTCCTAGTAGCTGAGCATCTAACCATTTGTGTCACCCAGGGACTCTGAAAGTAGCAGAACTGGGATTTAAATTTAAATCTGTTTGTCTCTAGAGCCATAAATAGCTCTTAACTACCATTCTATACCGACTATAAACTTAATGTGCTCTATGGTTTTGCTATCGCTTATCCTTTTTGCTTGTAGTAAGTGCATTCACTGAGCATCTGTTATGTACAGGCGGTGGACATTTGTCTTAGCCTGGGTTCTTTAGAGAAACAAAACCAATAAAGTGTATAAATATATATAGAGAGAGATTTATATCAAGGAAACGGCTCATGTGATTGTAGAGGCTGGAATGTCCCAAGTCCGTGGATCAAGATAGAGGCTTCTCCTGATTCACACAGCAGCAGGGAATGGTAAACTCAAGACTGGCAGGTTGGAGAGCAGGGCTCTTGGTCATAGACTGTGAAGATCGACAAATCCGAAGATTGGCAGGAAAGACTGCAGGGCTTCTCCTGATTCATGTAGCTGCAGGGGCTGGTGAACCCAAGATCGGCCTGTTGGAGAGCTCCCACTCATAGGCTGTAAAGATCGATGAATCCCAAGATTGGCTGATAAGCTGATAGCTTGATTCCAAAGAACCAGAGGTCAGATGAACAGGAGGCAGCCGCAGGATCCAGCGCAAGCAAAAAGCCAGAACATCTGCTCATATTCAGCTGCAGGCCACATGCCCAAGGAAACTCCCTTTCAGCTGACTGGCTACTCACAGTAGATCCCATCATGGAAGTGATCACATATAAACACTGAGAATCATGGTCCACCCAAGCTGACACACAATCTTAACCATCACAACATTCAAAGGTGAAAGATTGTGGAGGGAAAGAGTAAAAGTAGGTATGTAGATGTAATGGGGTAGTTTCACAATGAATTAGAGGCTTGGAAGTCCCTTCCAGTATTTATTTATTCAATGAAAACTTTTGAGCATCTGTTTTGTGCTGAATACTGTGCCTGAAGCTATTGGGTTGGGAAGCAGGGAGAAGAGATTGAGACCAACTTTTACCATTTTAAGATGTATATTTTTTCACATACTAATTTCTCTGAAATTACATATATTTTACAATCATAACCTCTTTAAATGATAGCATTTTTTAAAATTTCTTGGTGGTACATATAATAATGGTGCTTCTTACAATTGATGGAACCTTAGATTCATTAACACGTGATAAATACAAAATATGATTCTTGTTTGCAATATGCTTATTCTTCATGATCCTGCATTATACTAGATTACCCTCCAACTGTTGTAACCATGTAATACCCTTCATCATCTTGCCACCTTCTTCTTGGCCTTAAATACGTTTTTACTCCAATTATGGTCTATTTTCCCTCATTCTTTAATCAAATGAAAGACTTTCATATCGTTATCTTCAGCCTCAACTTCTTTCCTGGGCTCTGATTCATAACTGGTACCTGAATATTTCTAATTTCTTGTCCTAATGTCACCTCAAACACAACACAACTCACCATCTCCCCCTTCAAGTCAGTTTCTCCTCCAGGCTTCCCAAGATCTATCAGTTCTAGTAATTTAGACTTAAAACCTTGGGAGTCATCCTTGATCCTTCCTTTTCCTTTCTTTTACTTCTTTCCCATACCTCATCTGTTACCAAGATTGGTACATTCTTCATGAATTCCTTTCCAGTTCCACTATTGCCATCTCAATCCAGGCCCTTGTCTAATCACACATGGACTACTATAATGATTTCTACTGCTCCCTCCAATTCCTTTCATCCATGGTCACCATGTTGAATTTCCCCTAACAACTGTACTGCACAATTGACTCCCTGCTAAAAGTAATTTAACAGCCCCTCACTGATCACTGAGTAAATTCCAAACACCACAGCCTGGTATTCAAGGCTTTCCACAATTATTCCTTTCCAGCATCATCACCCACCTTCTAAACTGGAGGAAAATGTTCTACACTTTCCAGCTACCTCAAGTTTGGCTTAAATCATTTCCTTAGTCTAGATCTCTACTCTCATCCTATTGGCTTATCTAAGCCCAGACTTTCCTTCAAAGCTCAGCTTACTCCTCAAGGGAAAGCATTTCCTGATAGATTTTAGTTTACAGTGAACCCCCTTCTCTAACTCCGATAGTGCCTAGTGTATGTATCAATAATCCTGACATTTAGCATGTGCTCCCATCTATTGCTTTGTATCTTTTTATGTATGAAAATGTCTTCAATGAGAATTAAGAGCTTTGAGAGCAGAGACTTGGCCATACCTCTCCATATTTCCAGGGCTGACAGTCTTTTAAATAGAATAAAATTTTAGATCTGGAAGTTCACCTCGCCCTTTAGATTCATTTCACAGATGAAGAAACAGAAGCTTAGAGAGAAATTCTTAAGACCTTCTTAGTATAAAGCCATTGCCAAGTATCTGATATTTACAGATTATATATTAAGGGGTTGGCTTATACAGAATAGCTGAATTCAAAACGGGGAAATGACGGCATTCTCTGCACAAAGGTGGGAATCGGTGATCCAAGCTTCCTCGCAGGGAACTTGTAGATAGGAGGAGCCCTGACAAGGGCAGGGCTGTTATTTTGAATATCTTGAAAATAGTTGGACGCTCAGTGATGCTTTTTGCACGAAGTGATGCCCCAACAAACTCTTCTCCGCAAGCATGTAGCTCAAAGAAAGTGAAGTAGGTTCGCTTTCTGTCTCCCTGAGGGCAAAGGCGCAGAGGAAGAGCTACTGCCCAGTGATGACGACTAGCCAGGGGCTCTGCACTGTAAAAAGCTAGCCAGGGCCCGCCCCTGAGAGGAATCTGTGGACTAAGCAGCCGGTCTGGCGTTGGCTAGGCTCCCAGGAAAGAAGAGTAAGGGGCTTTCCGTCTGCCCCTAACCTAACCCGGCACTGGAAGCCTCTCAGATTGCAGCCACTCGCGCCCCGCCTCCTAAGCCGGCAGCCTCTTCTACGCGCCCAGTTCCCTGCCCCGCCCCCTACGCGCGGCGGGCTCGCTCCCGCGCCTGGCGCGCCAGCACGGGAGCACGCGGAGGCGGAAGGCCGCAGGGGCGCTCTTCCGCGGGGACGAGCGCGCAGGCGCCTTCTTGGAACTTGCTGCAGGCAGGAGTCCCAACGACCGGTGGGCGGCGGGGTAAGCCGGCGGGATTCCTGGGGCTCTGTCGCTCCGGGCCTGTGCAGGGGAGAGGCTGGGGTCTCGCGGCGCCTAGAGGCTGCTCGTCACCGCGCCTCGAGTCGTCTTGGAGCTGGCGACTGGGCTCCCGGCGCCGCTGCGCTCACGGAGACGAGTAGCGAGGCCTCGTGAGCCCAGTCTGCAAGGGTCGCTTGACGGTCGGGTGAGAGGATTTGGTGATGGTGGTGGGACGGCTTGGCTGGAGCGTCCTTGGCACTTTTGCTTCTGTGATCCTGAGGATCTGGCCCTCTAGAGCAAGGGAGGAGAAAGGTCAGGAGGAGTCTGCCAGATGTGCAGCCTAGGATAGGTGCACTTCCCAGTTTTGTGTCCACTGTGGACAGGGACGGATTACCCAGTAAGCAAGGTAAGCCGTGTGCTTACGGCATCAACAAAACAGCACACCAGTTGTCCAAAGCAAAGACCCATAGATGCCAAGCAGATAGGACACAAGGAAAAGTGAGCGCCACGGTGGAAGGGAACTGGCAGGGTACTAAATGAAATTGATACCAGTTTTAGTGCATGAGAATGTGGTGGGAAATAAAGTTAATGCAGGATCACGAGGGTTCCCACATGCAAGGGTGTTTAAACTATGAGGCGCCTACCACTTCAACGCTTTCGTTGACATTTGTCTCCTGCAGTCCCCTCCCGCGTAATGGAAACTCCTTATCTTGGCGAGTATCTTGAGAGTATATTATTTCTTTCTAATAAAAAAGAGGTGGGGTGGGCTGTTGAGTCTTAGTCTTACTACATTCACCCACCAAAATTTTATAATCCATTTCATCTCACTCTGCTAAAATGGCATACTCCACGTTTGTGTTCAATCACTAATATTATAGTCACATTTAAAAAGAAGTTATATCATGGATACACACGTATATATATAACTCACATATCCTGTTCAGAATGCATGAGTGTGCAGAGGAGGAGGTACCACAGATTATCAGTGTTTAGGGCCCTCACATGCCTTAGTCCAGCCCTGACTGTGGGGAAGGAACTTCCAGACTGAAAGGAGCAAATTAGGCTACAAAAAGTGGACGGTAGACTTTTCCTTTTGTTGAGATGCACCTTTAGGGCAAAGTAGGAGGGACGCAGGAGTCCTCGTGGCGCAATGGTTAAGCGCTTGGCTGCTAACCGAAAGGTCAGCAGTTGGAATCCCCCAGCTGCTCCACAGGAGAAAGATGTGGCAGTCTGCTTCCATAAAGATTTATGGTCTTGGAAACACTATGGGGGCAGTTCTGCTGTGTCCTGTAGGGTCATTGTGAGTCGGAATCCACTCCGTGGCAACTGGTTTGGTTTCGGTCAGGATTAGGAGGGACGCTCCTCTCCCGCCTCCGTGGCAACTTCGTGGCATGTGGACGGGCTAGGAAATTACTGTGCTCTACAGGTGGAAAAAATAATCAACCCTTTTAACTGTTTAAGAAGAGATCAGTTTAAAGATTCTTACATAATATTTTTAACTACACCGGACTTAAAGTTAGGTACCTCCCCTTTTCACACACACACACACACACGAAGCTCTCCATTCAGCAAATACTTTATGGCTACCTTTTTTCTGCCAAATATTCCTCTGAATGCAGGGAACATAAACCAAGAAACCAAACCATTTGCCACTGAGTCGATTTCAACTCATAGTGACCCTATAGGACAGAGTAGAACTGCCCTATAGAGTTTCCAAGGCAGTAACCTTTACGGGAGCAGATTGCCACATCTTTCTGCTAGGAGGCAGCTGGTGGGTTCAAACCATCTACCTTTCGATTAGCAGCCAAGTGCTTTACCCCACTGTGCCACCACGGCTCCCTATGGGGAACATAGCACTGAATAAAAAAAGAGTATCCCTGTTTGCATGGAACTTATATTCTAATAGACAAATGTAATTTGCTTTTATACTTTTTTGTTGAAATATAAAATGTATAGATAAATATAGTTTCCTTTTATACTTTTAAATTGCAACATATATAGAAAAATACTGTACACAAATCCTGAGTTGTGACAGGAAGCTTCAAATGGTTAAGCATTGGACTACTAACTGAAAGAACTGGTCCAAACCCACCAAGAGGTACCTTGGAAGACAAGCCTGGTGATCTGCTTCTGAAAGGTCACGGCCTTGAAAACCCTATGGAGCAGTTCTACTCTGCACACTTGAGGTCACCATGAGTCATAATTGATAGCAACTAACAACAACAACAACAACTTGTCACAAATTAAACACATCTTTTAACCACCACTCAAATCAAGAAGAGAACATTCACAGCATCTCAGAAAGACCTTCCTCGAGAACCCTTCCAATCACAATCTCCTCCTTTCTCCCCAAAGGTAACCTCTTTCCTGATTTCTAACAACATAGATTAGTTTTGCCTATTTCCAAGACTTTCATAAATGGAACAGTATGGTTTGTATTCTTTGGTGTCTAGCTTTTTGCTCAAAATTATGTTTGTAAGATTGTTCCATGTGTGAAAATATAATTTCTGATAGGAAGAAAATGAAATTGGGCAATGGTGCAGACAGTAAAGAGGAAAACTAGGTAAGGATGGTCAGGAATGAGCTCTCTGAGGGAATGACTTAAGATGTGACATGAATGACAAAATATTAGTGAAGGGTAGAACTGGGTTAAGAGCATCCCAAGTAGAGGGAACCCAAGTGGAAAGACACTGAGGTGTGAATGAACTTGACAGATTCTAGGAAGCGAGAGAAGTCCTTGTGGGAGAGTGGGAGGAGATGAGGTTGGAAAGGCAGAAGTCAGATCACAGAGGGTCTTATGCCTGGGATATTTGGATTTTATTCTTAGTGTAATAGCTATAAAGAAGAGACATGACCTGGTGTGTTCTTTCCTTTCAAGTATGAACCACTGGTGGAGGAAGGGAAGGTCTATTCATTTACTCATCAAAGAAGCTCCACAAAAGTGGCAGTACTCTTGAGAGAAACATAGTAACATGATGGGAAGCCAAATCCTCTTTTGCATTGTGAGGATTTATGTTAATTCAGATACAATTTGTTCCCAAAATAAGGTGTAGAAGACAATTCAGAAATTAGTCATCCATTCTGTTGTTGTTAGGTGCCGTCAAGTCCAGTCTGACTCATAGTGACCCCATGTGACAGAGTAGAACTTGCCATAGGTTTTTCTAAGCTGTACTCTTTATGGGAACAGATCACTAAGTCTTTCTCCTGTGGAGCCACTGGGTGGGTTCGAACGACCAACCTTTCATTTAGCAGCCGAGCGCATAAATGTTGTGTCACCAGGGCACCTTAGCCAGCCATTCTAATGAGCTAAAAATATTCCTGTCAAGTAGTAGTTCACTTTCTGTTTGAACCTCTTAAAGAGGATCTCACTGCTTTCAAAGGAGGCTTCATTCGTTTTTGGACAGCTCTAATTGTTAAAAATGTTTTCCTAATATTTAATTGAAATACCTGTAACATTGGTTATCATCAGTTATTTATTGCCTCCAATTCAGTATTCATAAAATTGATTTTTGTTGGTTTGTTTTTTTTATGTTTTAAGTATCGGACTTTAAATTTATCTGTGATTATTTCTGAAGTTGGATTTGGTCCATCCATAGATGCTGTCCAAATCTTTTTGCATTCTATCATCTGTCATTTAGCTATACTTCTCACCATTGTGCTGTTAGCAAGCTTGATCAGCATGATATCGGTTATAAGCAGTGTGTTCATTATAAGTTCATTTTGAGTATTAAGTGTTATTGGGAATCTACTTTTTCTTATTTAAGGTTATTTAAATATTAAGAAATATTTAAATCTGATTATCTGAAATTGTGGGTAATTGATCATATTAGTGATTTATTATTCCTAGATAAAATATTAGTTAAGGGAGCAGTGGGGGGAAATAGTAAATAGGCAATAGATAAGTGGTATATTTGGTGATGGGTGAGAGTACACAGTACTGGGAAAAGCAGCACAACTTGTACAAGGAAAGGTCATGGAAGCCCCATAGACACATCCAAACTCCCTGAGGGTCTGAATTGCTGGGTGGAGGGCTGTGGGGACCATGGTCTCGGGGGACATCTAGCTCAATTGGCATAACACAGTTTATAAAGACAATGTTCTACATTCTACCTCGGTGAGTAGTGGCTGGGGTCTTAAAAGCCTGTGAGCAGCCGTCTAAGATACTCCACTGGTCTCATCCCTTTGGGAGCAAGGGAGAATGAAGAGAACAGGATACAAGGAAAAGATTAGTCCAAAGGACTAATGGACCACTGCTACCAAGGCCTCCACCAGACT